GGGGGGGGGGGGCGCAATTCAATGATAATATACAATATTATTGTAGCACTAAATATTACGAAGTAAAACATGTTTCGTAATTGCGTGGCCATTCTTCTTGTCTGTTTTGATATGACTGCATGTGACGCACTTAGTTTATTTAGCCGCCGCACTTGATTATGAAACATGTTTTACTGTGTAGTGCTACAACGATGTTCATCTTTGTTTTGTTTAAAAATCAAAATGCCTTGCATATAATATTGTATTTTATCATTGAATTGCGCCCTCCCCCCCCCTGTAAATTATTATTATGTATATCTCCTGTGGTGCAAAATGCTCTAATTCGCATAAATTATGCACGGTTCCAGGTTCCGGTTCCAGGTTCCGGTTCCTGTATCGCTGTATCGTTGTATCGCTGTATCGCTTTTTAGTAGTAGCCGTTCTCTGCATAGGCTTTGCAACAAAGCGGAAGTTTATTTATGCAGGATGACGGAAGTTTGTTTATTTAAGTTTTAATTTGTAAGAAATGTAAGCCAGTATAAGGTCAAAATAGATCAGACATTTAGGTACCGTACGGACGTTCGGTACCAACATCGCATGTGTATTGTTACATGCATATACACCGTATGTTGGTGGGTATGTTAGCTACAACCGAGTCGCTACAATTGGCGGGAGTTACATCGTATATTAATTATGTTGGTGATGATATAGATTCGTTGATAGATAGCGTTATTTTACCAATGCTATTTTAAGCGGTGATGAAAATCTCCCACATTATCTGTTATCTCAAGTGAACGTGAATAGATGCTGCACATCCCATGTGATAATTAAGATAGATTAAGTCGCGTGTTACCAGAAGCCTTGACAGATTTAAAAAACAATGTCAAATATTTTATTCATGTGCCCTGCCCAGGAACACCCAACGAGGACAACACATGGAGTTAAGTAATTGGGGGAGTATGCGCGTTCCTATACCTCCGCGTGCCTGCATGCACTTTCAAAATTAGCTTTACTCCATTATCATATGAGGTGTAACATGCTTGGTAACGTACTGCAGTATGACTCAGATTCTTGACTAGGCAAGCCTTCTTTTCATCAGTCATTCGTTTTAAAAAAATCATCAGTATCGTACTACAACGTACGAATCATGTAAACTATTTAACAAACTACATTTCGACTGTATAAGCTATTTAATTAAATAACACGTTTATGAAAAGCTCTTTTTAAGGCAGCTTTCCAGAATTCCAGTTATAAGCGTTTTTTACACGTGCCCAACGAGAAAGTTTAAATTCCTTTTAACTTTAAGTTTAATTTTACTCATTGTATAACTAATTGAATAAAATGACAGAATTCAGTTTTCTGTATAATTTAATGTGTATTTGATGAGGTAATTTGTATAGTAATATAAAATTTAGAAAGATTTAAACTTTTCCCAGTGGCGAAGCCAGCCCGACAATTTGGCCATGCATGCATGCTATGAAATTTTTATCATTTAATTATCATTATTAATTTCTTTGGAATTGATTGTTTTCACGGTTTATAAACACGGAAATATTTGCATAGCATGACCAAATTGTCGGGCTGGCTTCGCCACTGACGTTTCCGTACGTAAATTAACGCAGGTATGAAAAATGCTTATTGGAAAGTAGCAGATATCGATGTACTATATGTCTATTAGTCTATATGAGTACAGTATATACGTATATTGCATGTGTATAGCTATAAATATGACGCCGAGATGTCGGTAACAATTCAGTTTTCTTCTCGATCCACTAAAGCAATTCTTAGTCAGTGTTAAAGCCGATTAAGTAAATAAAATTTGGAAAAATCTCGCAAACTATTACCTGTGTTATATTATGCCAAGTCATACTTTGAATTTGCGAACCCACTTGAACGCATGCGTCAATAGTAAGTCGTCTTTGTAAAAGGAGCTGCAAGCCAATTAAGGTTAACTTGAAATTCAGTAAAGGAAAACTAGGAACTGTTTCCTTCATGTTTTCCCAATATACCGCGATACGCATCGGGGAATTAAACAAATTCGATGCAACAAATTTAGCGCTGACCTTGCAAATTCGGATATATCATGTCTCGCACAATCAAGCAATGTTTTATAGTTTTCAACGTGGATATGTTATACAACCAACATTTGTTGTAGCTGACCAGTTTTCCACGAATTAGTAATTCCGTTCACTGGCAAATGCTTCTAACCAATGATTAATCGTATATTCTGCATATGGACCATAACCACTTCAATTTGGAAAAAAAATCATTATCATTAATTCACAGACAATTGATTGTCCGGCTGCATTCTCAATGCAGTACAGTATATTCCTTATCAGCCTCCATTCAACCCAGCAGCGTTTTCAAATTCGTCCAGAAAACATTGGCCTGTGAAAAGGTAACGGAAAAAGCGAAAAATCGTCAGGCGTATTAAAGACAGAATGACGACATCAGCATCCGTACTTTCATTCACTCACGCATGTCTCCTTCGGTGAGTAAAATCGCTGTTTCGCGCGTTTGAATCCGTTTTGGGTCCGATGTTGGACTTGGTTCACTAAAGGTATGCTAACAAACTTTCAGCAATTTGTATTATAGAGCTTGCCGGAAAACCTCTATTAGGCCACATAAAATAAATTCCTTGATTCTCATCACAACACTTTGAAAATGACCAAGAGGCGGGAGGTTTATATTTTATACTTATGTAATTTATACATCAATAAATATAAAAAATAATTCCTATAAACATTTAGTATTTCTGTGATTTCCGAAGTGAAGTGTCACAAACTAAAATAAACATATTACATTACACATTTCTGTCATCTCCAAACGTATCTCCACGAACAATGACTGAACCCTTGAACTGAATGCAAAGTTACTCGAGGTTCTGTTTCTTTGAAATTGGCCGTTTAAAAACCCAATATAAAATATAAAAAACTTAACTGTCTTAAAATATTTTGTCGGGCGGTACATTTATATTCTATAACGAAATATAAAAAAATTTCACTGAAATAAACATATTACATTACACATTTCTGTCATCTCCAAACGTATCTCCACGAACAATGACGGAACCCTTGAACTGAATGCGAAGTTCCTTTATAAATTGTATTGGCAATTGTAATTAAAATGGCACTAAAAACTGTCTTGAAATATTTTGTCGGGCGGTACATTTATATTCTATAACGAAATATAAAAAATTTTCACGAGGCTCTTAAGTGATGTGATGAGAATCAAGGAATTAATTTTATGTGACCTAGCTATCATCCTGACAGAAAATAACCTAGCATGATAAATGATTTATCTTATAGCATGATGCTTGGATCGGACTGTATATCATACTTCAACAGCTAAACAGTAAATCATATAGCGCGATGTTGTAAATCGCAAAACCTGAGAATAAGGTGGGCCGTCTATCGAAATATTTATTTTCCTCGAAATACATGCGTCAAATGCGTGCACTGCGAGTCTGCAATCCCTTGATAAGCTAAACAAGTAACAACTATATACTTCCCAAAGATCTGAAAAGTTCCCTTGTTATATTTCCGCCAATTTACCTTATTGGATTTATACCTGTTGTAAACTTGCCCCGATTGTAGCTACGTGAATATTACATACATATGTTTTTCAAACTTTGTATACAATGAAAGCTCAATAAAATAAAAAAAGTTTTAGTGTCATTGTTTTTTATCCCACATATTGAGCATCATTTAAATCTGCGACACGAACGATGGAACGAGCTATAAAGACAAAGATCGACAAAGATAAATTTTCAACCATACGAGTACCGTTATATAACGCTATACGTTCGATTCGCAAGAAGAAAGGAAGTCCCGAATATGATTCGTAGACTGTTTTTGTATTGTGTCGTAATATAACACCGCGAGTCGATCGTTTGACGTGTATAGGTCAACCCCTGGTGTCAAATGTTCTGCTTATATTCGTGCTAAATTTAGGCACGTCTAGTATTCAGCAGGAGTCACGAAGCAAGATAGAACTCGACCGCCAACTGCAAGTTGAAAACTGCACTTCTCAACAAACGTCAAATACATCGGATTCGAACTCTTATCGCCTTTTCACAAGAGCTAAGGTAAACAAGTTCTCTTCCTATAATATACAAGCTACTTCAGAAATGAATTTATCTTCTTAGGTAACTCGATTTATAATTGTACGTGTTTACACAAAGGATTGAGGAAACTTTTAAAAGATTACGGAATTCAACTTTAGTTATCATGAGCGCAGCTTATGTCGATTATACACTTTCATAAACTCAATTGTACAAACTTTGCACTTGTCTCATTTGCCTAAGTCGCGTAACTACTTGAGAAGAGAATAAAACGCAAGTCAGCGCACTGCGTATCGATTTCGCGTTGCGCCAACAACAATTGATGACAATTAGCGCTCATTGCCCTAAAACGCGTAATACAAATAGAAGACTTCCGGACGTATTTCGCTTATTAAATCGCGCGCAACTTAGACAATTTTGATGCAAACAAAACTGCATCCCAAAATTACAACGGGCAAGCGATGCAAATAATATGTGGCGCGAACATATTATACCGGTGATACGATGAAACCCAGCATCCAAGACACGCGACTTTAAAATATGATTGGTGTTTCCGATTTGAAGTACGTGCTAAATATTGACTTAACATGTTACCGAAAATTCCATTTAAAAATTGTTTAGCACCACTAGATGTGTGAAAATTATTATTTCATATATTAGCATGGTTCACTTCGGCAGACATTTGGCTGTATTTACAACAAATATGGCATCACATCGCTGATTAGCTCATGACAAGAAGCTGATTATAAACAAGCGCACGCTCCTTGCGATTTGTTTGAACATAACAGCGACGCGGCGCGCGCACTATTTTCTTACTAAAACACAAGTTTTATAACATGGGGTTGAAAAAACAAACATTAGTCTGATTGATTTAACGAACTCATTTCTTAACAGCATGGCTGGGATGCATAAGATACTCGTAGTTATCGCGTTCGTCCGAACAGTGTACGCCTTATCGTGCACATCGTGTGATAAGACAGCTTGTGCTGAACCCTTGAACTGCAAGGCTGGCTTGGTGAAAGGATTATGTGGTTGCTGCGATGTCTGCGCAAAGTTAGAAAATGAACGTTGCGGAGGTCCTTGGTATATTCATGGCAAGTGCGACAAGGGATTAACGTGCGTCACAAGAACACAGCGGGAAAACCGAGATGGATTTCTACCAGAATATTTTAAAACTGGCGTGTGTGAACCAGGTAAGAAAGCATGTCTAAAATGTTTAAATATTCAATTCTTATCCGGTATGTCAAGGCGGATTACGTACACTTAGTTATAAATTTCACTATAGCATCAACTGCATGGCCTTCTGGCCATAAATCAGCGAGTGGAGAACAGAATTTTATATCGCGCTTCTAAAATATTTCCGCAATTAAAATCTTACTCATAAACAGATTATATCCCAAAACGATTTCTGAATTCTTCACAATCAGATTTTGACAGGCAACCTGATTAAAAGTTTGTTGTAATAGCCAAATATAGCGCTCTCTTTAAAGGATAACGGTTTGCCACTTTGCATATTAGACTTGGTGTTGTTGGTGAAAACTAGCTATTTGTTTACTAATATTTAGAAAAAAATAATCTCTCGCTTTGTCAAAGACTGTGGAAAATAGTTGCTGGTAATGCGGAAGAAAGAAGACTGCGCACGTTTGATTTGCACGAACAGTATTGAAAAAAACTTCAAACTGCTATTCATGACTGCGTAATATTTCATGCTGCATATGCAAGCCCCCAAACCGCACAGTCTGTTACAATTTGGTTAATTTGGGCTAATTGTAAAATTCATTCATAGGCTATATACAAAACAGAATATTTAAGAATAACTTAAAGCTGTGCAGTTTCCGTGCTTAGGCTGCACGCTCCAAGCTGTTCATTTCCTTGCAGAAGTCAATTTTCCGCCTTCCACAGTTGCTCAATAACGAGGTGTAAATCTGTTAAATGGTAATGTACAATCTTTTTGGGCAGAAATGCGTTATCGTTTTGGAACGAACCCGTAAATGTTTGCGCGTATCATCGTTAAATTTCTGATCTCTTCCAAATGGCGTTAATTAAACAAATTTGTTGTCATTTATTTTTAACTATTGTCGATTGAGACAAGCATGTAGGTAATTCTATGTTGATTAATCAATTATTGGATTTAACCAGCGATTTAAGGGGTGCCCAAAAATCGCGGCGAGGAAAGCATGTCAGGATTGTGCAAGCTCATTGCGGCGGTTTTCAAAGACAATTGTAAATACGATCTCAAAGACGATTCGTTGATCTGTGAATGATGAAATAAAAACACGCTCAATTTACGCGTTTAAGTTTGATTGAATTTATGGTGAAATATCGAGACTGCATCCGCGATGATCTAAAATTGCCGGCAAACAAGTGTGGATTGACCCGAGGAAAAGTATCTTGAGATATTAAGAGGGAATCGAATGACATGTTGATAGCAAAACTCAATATAGGAGTATATCATGCAGTGTTATATAGTTCCGCTTAGTATGCTTTTATGCTTCATTGAAGTGTGAATCACTCTATTGAGCTCAATTGTATATAAACTTGTTTGCAATCCCAAATATTTAACCACTGTGTGAAATTTCTGAAATATTTTATTTAATTATTAATTGTTCTCTCGCAGGAGGTTATTCTGACACTTCATACAAGTAGATGGTGTTTTAAACTAACTTTTTTAATATCGACTTCGATAACATTTTTACAAGTTCAAGTGTCAACGGCGTCACACAACCCATATATAGACATAGTAATTAATCTCTACATGTTTAGAACATTCGGCGAATACTATGTTTTATGTATTTATTTATTGCCCAATGTGAATCGTTGTTACAGCTTGTCAATCCTGCCCTAAAATAATGTCCCAATATAAAACTACTTCTTTACGTATACTATTTAAATTTCACAAAAAGTTTTCAAAAGATTTTTCTTGAACAGTATATATACCTGCCAAAATTTGAGACTCGATTTGAGATTTTCATGAGTGTTTCTTGAATTCCAGAATTATTCGGAATTAAGATGTTTTTCAGCCTATTTGGCTATTATTTGTGCCAATAAATTATAGTGTGTATACTACTATACCATCCCGAACGGTGACATGTAGAGACAAAAACAGACAGATGTGGTGCGAAAAGATGTACAGTATAACTACTTCCTAAAATATAAGCTGAACTTCGACATGCACTGTTTCGAGCGGACTCTCGAATGATAAAATAAAAAAACGTGCTCAATTTACACGTTTAAATTTAGTTTAATTTGTGCATGGTAAAATATGGTGAAACATCCGCGCGACGATCTGCTGATAATTGCCAATTAGCGCTTGAAACGTTTCACCTTCGCCCGAATCGTCGAAGGTTTGCTATATATATCCTTTCACAACGCAGCTGACTGTAGCTAATTTCTGGCCATAGGTATAGTTTATAGAAAGAACCACGGATTTACAGTAAATGAAATTTTTGGCTTTATTTGTGGAATTGAAACGATTTAATGCATGCATGCCTGTAATAGTAACACGGTTTGAATTATAATCTTTACAAAAAAATAATGATTTGAAGTTCGATGACGTGGGTGTCATGCATGAGGACCATGAGGGCAAGCCTGTTTAAAATTGTGACAGGAGAGAAGAAGGACATGCAGCTAGTGGAACTTGTAACTCAAGAAGACAATAAAGCACTTCATGATCATTTTTTTTTACTCGTCAGGCAATTGCTATGCAAAGTGTTCATTTTTTTGTTATAGCTGCTAACCTAAGAGTTTTATATTATACTTCCCATTTTGAGCTATTTTGGAATTAGTCGGGTTATGAGCACGCTTCGATGAAATTCCCAACCTTTTAATTGTTATGATCATACATGTTCATCTGCACCACACGCTTGCTGATATTTCCAACATATCTGAATATTTTACTCCGTTTGAGAATAAGTGATTAATGGTCGTATGATTAAGCTGGTAGTTTATGCATGCCTAGGTGGTCGCCGAACCTAATCGAATATAGTGGATCTTCTTTTTGATTACACATACATTTGCATGTTCCAACATGATATATAATAAGATTAGCTTTCTAACACCGAAAACTCTCAATTGCTTGGATTTTTCTCCATCTTATGCCGCCTTTCTGAATATGTTTAATCCTATAGTCTTAATTATGTTCAGCTCTTTTTTACTCATACCGAAAAATACTTTAACACTGTTGATTTAATGCGCCTTTACTAAGCGAATAACACTTCTATTAATTACCATTTATGGCTTGTCTTGCGGTGCTTAATCTCTCTGGCTGAGAGTGAACGGCGCTTTTTATACCGTGCAAAGCCACTTGAGAAAATTGAAAAACACAGGAAACTTTTGGCATTGCTAACCGATCTAACGTGATATGTAATTTGGACATAATCAGGTTTGGTGATAAGTTTTCGAATTTAAGTGATAATGCAAACAGATTCGATCGAGTTTACAGAATGTCTTTGTGTCTGAAGCATCATCACATACATCGTTCTGTAACATCATTTATGAAATCCCCAAATCACGCCCCTTGTATAAAAGGTTTTCGGTGACAAGCAATTTGCATATAGTACGGATTTACTTCGACTGTATAGTGAACGATTTTTTATATGGCAAGTACACTGTTCAAAGCTATAGTATATAAAGCTAGCATACCAGCTTTTGAACAAGTGCATTTGATATAGAAAAATATGGCAAAGTACAAATGTTGCTTGCATGTCTGTATGGGTCCACAAAGAAAACTAATTTTGACAAAGTAATTTGAGCGCGTGAACAGCGATATTTTAATGGTGTATGGTGATTTGTTGGCGTCTATTAATATAAGCCCCACCCCCTTCCGAAAGAAAAAGAATACTCCGCCCTTTTTGAGTTAAATTGATGGATATTGCTGTCTTTGATATTTCCACTCTGCATGCATGCATGCATGCTTTGGTTGAGATTTTACCCTAAAATTTCAGCTTCGAATTTACTCTCATTTGCATTTTGCATTTAAATATGAAGGAATATCGTGCACAAAAACAAAGAGTAACAAGTGATGTAAAAGTGCACGATGTGAATCAGCTCAGCATATACTAACAAGGAGTAAGGAGGTCTTTTGTGCCTTGAATTATTTTTGGAAAGTGTGTGGGGGGGGGTTATCATGTTATTGACAGGAATGTTTGTATCTCTATTTTCCCAGTTGTCCTTTCCAGTTGGTATAGTTTTTGTACAAAAGAAAATAGATTTAAAATAGAGATTTACCCCTCTTTTTATACATCCATGCATGTATATGGATTGTGTCCCTTGCCATAAGTTTGTTATCTTCACTCCCAGCTTAAATTAGAATATTCTTTGATGTTATTTCCGGGATTATCGTGACTGCAAGTTTAATCCACAAGCATGTCCTGAAGAGTACCACACTCGCGTGGCGAGCATACCTACTCGCACATGTCGAGTCTATTCACCTTGATTTGTTTATTTATGATCCGAGAATATGCTGTTATGCATATTTCATGACGATTTATTAACACCATTAATCGTTTCATAGACGAGTTATTGACCTAATAAAGGTGTTAATTACATACTATTCTTGTACATTTTCTCTTTTCATGGCAATTAAATCAAACATCAGCAAATTTCGAAGAGTTTGGTTGTAATGTAGTCTAACTTTATTCCTTTAAGCCCTTTAATCATACAAGTTGACTTACTAACCCTTGAACCCTTACCATCCCTTAAATCAAAGAGCGACTAAGATATCAAATCGTCATTCTTCAAGGTCATTCTATAAATGGTTTGCCGTTGCTAAATTTTGCTGCAAGATTTAACTTCCTTATTAGCATCCTTGAATAATTTTCACTTGAGAGCGTTATCAGAAGGAAATGCAACCAAATATTATTCTTAATAACATGATAATTATCGCTTATCTTAGTGTTACACATGCCTCTTTTTGTCAGCACCCCTTCCTGCTGGCTTCCTGATATTTTCATGTTGGTTTTCTTCACAGAATAAATAACATCAGAATAAGCTAAACGAATATCCCTGATTTGTTAAAGTTAGGTTACGTTAATATTATAAGTTTGTTGCTGGAAATCCCTGATTGTGTATTGCGGACAACGGAAAACGTACTGCGGATTCGCATGCGGCTTGGTCTGTTGAAAGTATTAGTATTGACTATTGATATTAGTAACAGAATTAGTATCATGCATATTATGGGCAAAGGGTGATTTTCGGCGGATGAATTATTTTAAAAATGCTAATAGAAATGAAGACTTCGACGTTTTCAATTTCAGTTGTGTGATTTTTTTATTTTAGTGTAGATTTTATGCTAAGTAGTAGATATAATCGTATTCTCATACTTGAAAATATTTCTTTCTACTGTGAAACAATATACTGACTGTAAGACATTAATAGGAAAAGTACAGTCCAATTATAGGCTACATCTAATATATTGTAAGCAAATATAAACTTTACTAATACCATGTTGTCAGTGAAAAGCCCTTTTTAGGGAGTTGCCACTACAAAAATGTATGCGTATGTATCTATTATTCTTTTTGTCAAAAAGGAAGATATCTTATATTAAATATCTAAGCTTTGGATAGCGCTTACTTTCATTTTAAGTTTTAACATGACAGTATAACATGACAGGCAGCAGGGCAAACTATCTCTGAAACAGTAAACTGAACTCACACAGGGTACCAAAAGAAAGATTAAGAAGGATTGGAAAACATAACTTTAATTTTTTTGCTAATTGGATTGTATTTCGGAAGCCTCTCACAAGTATTGAGAGTATATTTTGGCATTAGACATCACCAAACCAGGAATATACTAGTCCCTGTTTTGCAAAACAGACACTGCTCTCATAAAATGATCATTGCCGACATCCGGCTGAAAAATCATTTCCGCTGGCAAATGTTTATAATGAAAATATTTGTTGGACATTCTACAGGTCTTGTAAAAGTGTTTAGTTATACTTTATTCAATAATCTTGCTCTTTGACGTTGAGAACCATAGTCATAGAAGCCCAACATATCAGATAAAAAATAGAATAAAATGTAGAGAAAAGCAACGCAATGTCATCTATATTGTACTTTTCGCGGAATCGGAGTTCGAAATTTTGTAGTTTTTAGTTTTGACCTTCTGAGGACATCCATGAAAGAGCTGAATTAACTGCTTCCCATGCATGCAACAACTTTAAATTGCTTCGATTAAATTTCTAGATTTTTGAGGTAGTTCAGATACCATGATACCACAACTTATTAAAGTAATTGTCTTGAATTGTGGAATTCAGTTACAACTCACATCTGCAATATTTAGAAGATCCTATAATATCTAGAAGTGCAGTACTGATATTTCTTTTCAAAACAAAAGCTCAATTTTAATGGACTTTATTGTTTAAAGAAATGGTCAACGTCTACATAAGACAGTTCACGTTTCCTGGCTAGACATGGCATTTTGTACCTTTGACGGTAGCATATAAACCTACGTAGATAAAACGTTTGTCTGTATGGGATATTTCATCTCGTCTTAGATAGAATCCGGCAGTAATGCTAGAGAAGTTATGTTAAACCAAACATGGAGATCCTGTGTAGCGTCAGCAATATTTAAACCAAACATGGAGATCCTGTGCAGCTATACTCCTATAGTATTATGATAATAGATTACGTAGTAAACTGAGATTGATTAAATTCTGAATCTTATTTTAGTGAATAATGGCGTTCAAAGATGATGAATATACATTTTTTATTTTCCCGCCATGTTGGATGACTCGAATTTGTCGCCCAAAAAAAGTAATGCATTTAATACGTACTAGTTAAAATATGAGCAGCTGACCTTTATGAGCATTTACAATTACAATGTAAATGCCCACAAAGGCCAAATGCAAATATTTTAACGTTGCTACTTGCAAAATGTATTTATTTGTTTACTTTATAGTATTCACTGCCCATGGCCATGGGGACAATTTCACACTTCATTAGCATGCATTTAAGATCTGAATTAGCATTGATAACTTTCATAAACATCCCTGCTTCTGAATTACTGCAGTATTCATAACTTTCATAAACATTCCTCTAACTTGGCTTTCTGTCTGATCTTTAATGCGGTTTACAAGTGTGCATATGTGACCCGAATACCGCGTCTGATTTGTTTTTAGTCATTAATTATTCATTTATACTGATTACTGTCAAAAATCAAATTATTCCTAAGACTCCTAAAGTTTGTTTATACCGCGTAATATTCTTGAGGTTTGAATTTTAAATGATGCGTCTGCGTTTGTAGAAAATATCGAACATGCATAAAACAGTTATGTTAGTCACATGACTAGTTCGAATATAGCCATTTTCCTTTTAATACTATACATGTAAAGTTTGAAACTAAAATTTATAGTGCAAGTATATATTACTCTATCTTGAAAGAAATGGAAGAAGTATAGATATTCCATGATTTGAAATGGTAGAAATGAAGTTAATAGCCAAAAGCAGTTGCCATAGATTTCATCATTCTACAAACATGAGCGCTGGCATTAGATAACAATTCCAAGTTTCTTGCACGAGTAGTCGGGGCAACTAATGCTTAACTGACGTCCATGCAACACTGGCACATGGTCACTTGTTTATTATTTGCATGAAAAAATACAGATTTTACTCACTATGCCTTTCAAAACGCACTATATACTGTTCTTTCATTTGAAAGCATGCATTAATTCTGTATACTCAGTGCGTTCATTTCCAATTATTAATGTCGTGGACTTGTGATAAAGCTCTTGAAATTGTGAAAATCAAAGACAAAGTTCAGACTCCTGTCACAGAATCAAGACACACAGAAGGTCGACTAAGCCAAAATAGCGTAACCGCTGCCACGCCATGATTCGTCATCAAAATGTTTTAAATTGGGAAAGTGACTCGAACAATAGAGTAAATTGGGAATTGCTATTGGTGATTTGGCAAAAATACAATCAAATTTCAGTCATTTTGTCATGTAAATAATAACTAATAGAATACTAACTCAAATAGTTTTACATTACTTATAATTAATTTATACTTCACTAGATGCCTGTAAAAATATAGAGTGTGGATTCCGCCAGAAGTGTAAGATCAAAAGACATGGTAGACCTGTCTGTATCTGTCCTCGGAGATGTGGCAAGGCAAGATTTCCAGTATGTGGATTACTTAATGGTAAACAGTACAAAAATAAATGCAGGCTTCAACGGGAAGAGTGTTTGACTGAAACAGAAATTGGCTTGGTAACAGGGGAATGCAAAAGTAAGTTATGTCAAACAAACTCAAACACTGTTTTCACTATAAGTCCGCTATAATTGTCATGGTTTGGAATTATATAATTGGTACTAACGTGTTTCATTGTACATGTATGGTTTGCTACAGTGCCATACATTGTAAGGTTGCTTTTCCTTAAGTGATTGTTTTGAGCATGCTGGGTATATCCTCATTATCAGTGATGTCAGGACGACATGAAGGCAAGGCGGGTAAATTTCAGTATAGAGGAGCCATTTTTATTGTCACTTTCTGGAGA